GGGGGGGGGGATTCGGAAAGCAGTTGACTGGCCCTAGGGGAAATTGTATATTGCTGCATTTAAAGTATATTTTGAAAGTGTGTGCCGGTTGAAGCATGCAACATATGAAAGCAGAACAAGAAGAAGGAAAGGTGAGGAGGGAAACAATAGTGGATATAACGTAACATGTTAAGGCAAAGAGTAAAACTGTATGTAAATCAATGACCTTGGCAGATATCCGAGGCCACCCCCGCTGGTCCCTGATGATAACACTTGGTCCACGAGTTCAGCCTCGGCCTCCCCTCCAGCTCTGGCGCTCTGACCCACAGACACTCGGACATCTCCAGACAGGCTCAAAGAGTCGTCATTCTTCGCAAATTCTGAAGCCATCTTAAAGGAATCAACCTGATCAAAGCGGACACACAGAGCAAAAGATACAATGTACTTATTATTGCTGATGAGTGTTCATGTATGTGTTCTGAATTAGGGATTATTTCTCTAGCAGAATCCTTGGTGAGAAATCCAGACATCACATACAGAATGTAGACATTTCCAATCCTTCCTTGTATAGAAAGCGATCCTTCAAAAGAGTTCAAGCATAACCTACCCCACAGTACTCCAACAGCTTTATGATCTCTTCTTCATACACTGAGTTTATGGCATACTGCTTCTCCAGCTCCTTCCAGTTCACTGCTTTACTCAGCACGCCCTGCAAACACAGGGAGGGTGGGGGAGATCAGCCAGTGGGTACATTTACCCACCCCCCGTATCTAACAAACTGTGCACATTTGTTGTCATGTGACCATGACTTCAGGAAGCACCCATAAGTGGTAAATGTGTTTTTTTCACAATAAACCATGTTCTGTCAAAGCAAATGTATTCAGGTCTGAAAAGATGTATCATAGATGTTGGTTATTTAACAAGGTGTAAATGTGAATGTGAATCACTTAGCTAAAGATTAGCATTAAAGACCAAAACAGTCTATGTGCTGGGGACACTAGCTCTCACAATGGTCTGGCTTATTTTGAAATGTATATATATTTTTCTTGTTGTTCTGAGTTTGTAACTTTATTGTAAATTGCACTTATTGTAGGTCAGCTAATTAAATGTAACGTAAAAAAATAAAAATAACACCAACTATAATGTTTGGTTATGATGTCAATTGTAATGCTGCTCTAATTACTGACTTGGTCTATTTGAGATAGAAAGAGTGTTACCGTGGTGAAGACACTTGAGGCAGTGGACCAGGACAAACAGGGAATCAGAGGAATGGGCTTTGGCCAGTTTGTCACCGCCAGGGATGCCATCTACACACAAAGACAGACAAGACATGAAAAATAGGATTTTTTTTTGGTGAGATGAGGTATTACAATGGACCCACTGGTACTTGTATGCAAAACATATACTTTCACATATAAAGAAGGTGCTGCTGATAATGGGTGTCCAGGGTGGCACATGTGCATTAACAAATCAAAAGACAGAATGTTTGCTGTTATGATGACTCACATATCCTCCCATGGAGATGCCAGTCATTCCTAGTGGCCAGTACCCTTCTCTCTCCAGCCAACGGAGAAGCACTGTTGACTCCAGGATCAAAGCCCCTCCCATCACAAGCAGGTCTGACACATTCTTTAGACAGGACCGCCTAAAGTACTCACAAATAATGTCCCTGTTTACTTAACACTGAAATAATCCCAGTGTTACAAGTCCATTGAAAATATATATCAGTATTTAACCACCACGAGCGCAGCCTTGGCTTTGAGCAGAGGACAGATTCCAACACTCATGAGAAACAAAGCCTCAGACAACACCATAGATGTCTGCAATGACTCCTGTCTCACAATCAGGGTTGGGAGGGTAACACTTTACAAATGTATTCCATTACAATTACTAGCTACTTGTAGTAATCAGTAATGTCATTTGAGTATCACAATATAAAAGTAATGTAACCTGATTCATTTCTGTTACTTTTGGATGACCTCAAATGCAATGCAAATAAATCCAACAGACTTTTCTTTTTTTACTTAAGTGTATTATGTAAGAAAAATGTGACCTTATAAAAGACAAGATATTTAGGATCAAAATCGAAAAAGAAAAATGAAAGTGGCCTAAATGAAAAGCAAAAAATAAAATTCAGACAGTAGTCTAACTATAATATATAATTATTAATTAAAACATTAGGGGAATACAGTTTACTTTTTTTAATCCTGATTACGTAATCCCATTCCATGTAATCTGTTACCTCCCAAACCTGATCACAGTCCGCATGTTCATTGTGTTTCATACAACTGTTGCTTTGCCAAATAACTGGCTAAATCATTTTTTAAATAATTGTGTCATCCTGATTGCAACATGAGTCTATTCTGTATAGACAAAGGTTGGTCATCTCTGTATACTACAGTTGGGCTACACTGACTATATCATCCACTGCCATCAGAATGTAGGAGCTGTAGAGATGTCCTGGAGTGTAGCATTAATATCACTTATTTTCTCCATGATTTTCCACACCTTGAGAATAACTGCCATTAAAGGAAAGGTAGTGAACCTCAATATGTTTGTGGTACAGACAGCTCAACACTGCATAATAGTCCTGCCTGCCAAAATAGACGAATCATAGAATTGAATGTCTGTTTAAAAAACACACTGATGTTGGAAATTCCATTCATTTTTTAAATAAGGATACACAACGACTGAATGTTGTAATTATAATGTAATTATAATCATAACCTGTTATGTGTCTGATGTTTGCTGTACTAAATACATGGTTTACCAATCAGCACCGCCACTCCAATATAATAACAGCATGCTTACGCATGATGATGTGTATGTAGATATCAGATTCAAACTGTGCTTGCTTTGTCAGGGTTTTTTATCTCTGTGAAATGATTCCAACTTTTTGGATTTATGCTTTTCTTTTCCTAAACTGAAAGCTACTGAAATCTACTTCCGCCTTAAATGTAAAAATGCCAAAGAAATTGGTAATCAATCATTCAGGTCATGTGTGTGAATAGAAATGTACTTACAGTTGGTCTTTGGGTTTACGGTAGCCATGTGAAAAATCAGTCAAGGATTAAAATATGTTAACAACAGTTCACTTCTAACTATACTTCTATATATATATTATTATAATATATATTCCAGATCATTTTTGCTCAAAGCGCTGTAGTGATCAAGCATTACAAGAATTACCACCTAGCACTCTGATATCTTGACCACCGCTGCTTTGGTTACTGAGTGATTTGTCTCACAAAACAGTTTTAAAAGGAAAAATAAAAAGTGGGAAGCAGATGCGATCAGAAAATATAAGGATATAATAAGGGCTCTCCAGAAGCAGCGAAGCCATTCCTGCCTCTTTAACCATCGGCCTGGCCATCAGAGTCCGCCGACGCCAGAAGAACTACGCGCGCGCGCGCGCGCACACGCACGCACGCACGCACGCACGCACGCACATACGCACGCGCGCGCGCGCACACACACACACACACACACACACACACACACACACACACACACACACACACACACACACACACACACACACACACACACACACACACACACACACACACAGTCATTAATACTTAGAGAGTCAAAGGAACAGAGAAAGCTGTGTAATGATCCCAGCCGGGCTTTGAAGTGTTGCAAACAAGAAGATGGTAACTTGGCGAATAAATAATACTAAGACCAGGCAAGTTTTTAACTTTCTTTGTTTAATATTGCCATATTAAACTCAAAATCCACAGTAAGACACATGCTAAAAAGCACATTGACAAGAGAAATAAATCAGGACCTCAGGTGCATTACTATTGGCCATACTGAATCTATCAGTGCCTGCTTGGGGAGATGTGTACACTTCATACACACAAGGTTCAGGTTACGTGTAGGTAGAGAGAGTGAAATGTGTAAAGCCTTACATGGTCTCCCGTCCCTGCCAAGTGGATACATACTGGTCTGTTCTTCTGCCACTTCTTAGGGACTATAAACTGGAACCTGAAACAACACAAACACTGTAAAGACACAGAATCCACTCTGTGGCTGAAAGACAGAATGATTCAATAACTCTGTCTTGTTAAAGGCCACATTAATAGTTCTGCCCTGGTTAATGACAGACCAACACTCTTAAATATATTTCAGGTCATTTTATCAAATATTCAGATAGTCAACATTATTTGTTTAGAAAAATTGAGAAAAAATAGCACTCGTAAACAAAAACTGCTGTAATTTAAACAACCTTAACTATTTGTCATTACAATTACCGGCGAGAAACGTTGTTATTGTGGTAATTGTCAGGGAAAAACACATTTGGAGACGGAATAATATGGCATAGGACAACAGTAAAAAAAACTCTGTATAGATTTGGGTTAAAGACAGAAGAAGGGGGGGCACATTGTTGCTGCCCAATGGGAACGAGTGAGGAAGGGATGCATTGTTCTGTTATAATTATTTATTTATTCAAATGTTAATCATTGGTTGTCCATACTGATCTTGGTTGCTGTCCAGACTGATGTCATCTTTAACACTTCCTCCAGTCTGCACCTTGGAAAGGGAATGATGACATGAAATATATTCATCATCCCATTTCCATGCACTCCTTGGAGCGTGCCAATTCCTCCATTGAAGTTCTCTCATTTTAATTGACTTTTTTTGAATAACGTCATTAGTGTTGGACCGGTTGTAATCCTGTTTTGGATTCAACTGGCTCTGCTTATATATTTTGTGGTCGGAATAATACCGTGTGAGACAGGCTGTCTTCGCCGAGCTGAGGTAGACAACATTAAGAAGATCACATTTCCATTAGGGTGGAAAGAAGCGCATGGAGGCTCATGTCACATTTGTTTACAATACATTTCGTTGTGTTTTTTTTGGCGGTTATAAGAGATGAGAAATGGCAGAGTAAGCCCAGAAGAAAACCATTGGTGCAGATCGCCATCTTGGGTCATCACACCAGACAGACCAAGCAACAGGACACAAAGACATGGGCGGCGAAGGGCAATTACTAACATATAAACAAATACATTAGGAATTGCATAGAAAGGGATTCGCCTGGGCTCAGGGCCGTGGGAAGTAGGGGTGCTGAGGGTGCTGCAGCACCCCCTGGTGGAGGACAGGGGATCTGCACTTCCACAAGATTAAATACAAATATAATTTAAAATAAAATGAATTTTCAGCCTTGACGTAACAACATTCATAATCAAGTAAAGATAACACCCTTTTCACCCCGGTTACATTTTCCATTTGCCCCGTACGATGGGCGCTTTAAGTGATGAAAGTGGGGGATGTTGGCTTGTCA